ATCAATATCGTTTAAAAATAAATCGTATTAAAGATTTTTATCATAATGTTCTATTTAAATGTTATTATCAAAATAAAAATATACATAATCAAGGTTTAATTAAATTAAATGTTGAACATATTCAATTACCACCAATTATTTCTTACATACCAAATAATCAAACAGTATCAATTGGTGTTGAAGTTATATTTTCATGTCAATCTAATAATGATGTTAATATTCAATGGTGGTTTATACCTTATAATCGTCCATATAAAATAATTAAAATAAATAATAATAATAATAATAATAATAATAATAATAATAATCAAAAATATCGAATTGAAACAAATCATGATTTAATTATTCAACATGTTGAAAAGTGAGTAAAGATTTCTACAAAAAAAACTGTTCTCGAATGAAATTTTCGAAATGAAGACTTAAGAAGATCCATTCTTTCTTCTGATTGTTAAAATCAAAATTTTTCAGTATTTGATTTTTCATCACTAATATAATTATCTTCGAAAGGTCGTCTGTCAAATGTCATATACATAAGAACTCTTCATTGTTAGTTAGTAGTTTTATTAAATCTAACTCTTAAAATCCGTAGCAGAGAAACTCGCGGTGCAAAGAACACGACCAGTTCTCGATTATTTTATTCGGAAGGCAAAGAGTCCTGATACATACAGGAAAATTTGTTTTTCGTTTTTCTTGAAATCAATTTTTATACAAAAAAGTGCAGAGATATCGAGTTTTTTTTTGTATTGAAAAATATTACATCATTGATTTATGGCAGTAATCTTTTTATTCGAATCGAAGGGATAAAAAGAAATCAATAATAGTATACTGTATTCTGAAAGTTTCATATATTTTTGATGAGTATGAAAATGGCGGGTTTCCTTGATCTATGTCGCATGACTGCCGGTATATTGTCGATCAGAAGATAGCCAATCGTTTAAGCGTCAAGGTACCACCGGTTGGTTGCTGATATAGTGCACATTATACCGACGATTATTGTCTGGTTCGAATCATATGGTAAATGATAAGTTGATTAAATGTAAAAAATTGGTTCTGCACTTTTCTAACTACTCAATGGATTGATTTTAGTAATGTGCGGCCCATAATGAATGGCAGGCTTTTTGGATTTGTTCTTTTTATCACTTAGTTAAATTTTATTGAAAAATAAAATATACTACAATACGCAATATGAACAGCTCCGCAAGTTTCAACAAAAATCTTTTTTTTTTATGTGGATTCGCTATTTTCAAAATGAGTGAATTTCTGT